TTGCTAACTAGTTTAAGGATTCAGTTACTTGAGTCCTTGAGGGAATATTCTGAAAAGAATATCCTCAAGTGAAGTGAAATTAATATTTTCACGTGACGGAATCTAAAATGATTATTTAATTTAATAAATACAATTCAATAGGTGTAGCAGCATGGATTGACTGCACCAAAACAAAACATCAAAACATCAGGTATTAGGTTAAGTCAACATCATGTCAAATTTATGAAGTTACTTTCGTAGGCATGGCAAGCTTGCGCCATGAAAAGAACATGCGCAGAATATAGAAGGCTGTCCACATTTGTAGAACCTTTTATATTCCACCAAAAAAGTTAGGTAAAAAAAAGGACCAAAAAAAAACTTAATGATAATATATGAAATAGATCGGAATTTAAGTTTGACTATATAAAAAAAAATGACCTTCTGTTCTTTGCAAGGAAATCAATGAAATTTTATATTTAAATTATTTCGGAACTGAAAAATAAATCTCTAAAGAAATACTAAATACAATGATAAATTTGATTGTATGATAAAGAGATAATACGTATTGAAATGATTTACTTACATGGAACTGCAGCACGCCAAAAAAAACTCTTCCTTTTTAAATGGAACTCTTATAAATATATTGATTTTATTATACAAATTACTTATTATTATTTTTATTACTGAGTTATATTCTTCCCCAATTTTTCTGTTCCAATTCCGTCACTTTGAAGGTGAACAATTTCACCGGTTGGCGTGGCTGCGTATCGAGTTCTGACCAAAAACTAACCGCTTCGCTTCCGCACAAAATCGATCTTCCTTTCAAAGCGATGACAGCGCGTGAGTGGGGAAATGTCGATTTAAAATCGATCGTAGGCGGGTAATAAAAATTTCTTAAGGGGTTAATCAGAAGCGTAAACGCTACAATGGATGTATATCTCTGTTGATTATAACATAATCTATCATAGATCTTTATGCACGGGTGTTATTAAATGTATATTTGTGTTATTCTTTGTGATCAAAAAATGTGTTGTTTATTCTAAGTTCGTCATTCATGCAGAAGTTTATCATCAGTTCAATCATTTTCGATTTTAACATCCTCGTTATGTTTTTGCTTAATTCTGTGTATGTATCGCCGCGACCGTACACGCTTATTATATACAGCGATAGATTACTCAAAATTCATATTTGAAATATTTGGTTCCATGTTTTGAGCAAGATAGAATCCATTTATCATTGTCAAAATATTCTTACTTATACTTGAACATTTAAAGATTATAAAGCTTTTTATAGAACTGAAATTCACTTAGTCTGGCAAATAATAAGTGAAATGGGTCATGGGCGTCATAACTTGGGTTTTTCGTATCTCTTTTAGCTATCGCAATACCAGGAAGCGTGTCAGTAGTGGAGAAAGAGTGCGTATATAATCAATATATATTTAGTTTTCTCAGAGTTATAAGTACATTGTGTGTTAGAAGTATAAAGGTGCCTTTTCGGCAGTGAATGAGTTAACGATATATTGCTTTTGTTAAATATTATTGAATTAAATATAAATGGAAGAACCTAGTACTAATAGGAAGAGTATAAATGCGAAAAGTTCTCGCAAACAGTTAGGACTTGAAGCTAAAAAAATAGTGTCTAATGTGTACAAGTATTCGACAAAAACCTTGTCTCATGCGAAGGCAATACTCGTTGTGAATGTATGACAGGATGGCTGCCCTGATGAAAAAAACCCAGTATCCAACAATTTCTTTATAGTTCGACTTTTTTTACTTTTATGGATATAACTTAATGTTGTTTATTATATTTTAGGTTTAAAATCCTCGTAAATCACTTGGTTTTGAAGATTTTCGAATAGTAAAACACAGTATCTACCATTTATTTTCTAATTTTTAAAATGAAAAACACAGTATCTCTCATATAGAAGTGTAAAAGACAGTATATGCCAGATACTGTGTATTTTTACATCTTCAAATAAAAATGTGTTTACAGGATCTATTTACAGGATTACAATGTTTTACATCCCTAGTTGGACATCTGTTAAATGATTTTATTTTTTTTTGTAAAATTTCAACCCTTGCCTTTATGTTTGTTGATATTTTGTATTCAAAAACTTAACATGTTTTTGAAAATAATTGTTTGTCAATTATGTTAGTACCTAAAAAGCCATTTTTTTAATGTGCATTTTTTAAATTAATCGAAATAAAATAAATATTGATAATTTCTTACTATATTGTTATTTAGGCAGAAGTATTCGCTCCATGCGTGACTGACGCGACACCTACCGCCTTCATCTAACAATTTTGGAGTCCCAATTTTCAGGTTAAACATATGACATATGTTTGACATTGTTAAATACATGCGAAATTGACAATTATTAATAAATTAGTTTTTTAATTATATTTTTTCAGTTTATGTACAAAATAAATGTAGTATTAAAAACTGGGTTTCTCAAAATTCATTATAATATATCTTTTCAACTCCAAACGGAAAAGAAAGGGACAAATCTAGTACTGGCGAATCAAGTTTTTCACGCAAAAGAGCATATAATTGAAAACAATAATAGTAAAAGTTATGATATAAAAGCTAAAGTCATCTGCAGTTAGCTTGAAGCCTTATGAAATATCATTCAAGGTAAATTATTTAAATTTTTCCTATTTCAATTGCATAAAAATGAAATTATGTAATATTTACTTTTTCATATTAATAGCACCAATTCATCTTTTTCTTTTCTCTAATTTATAAGTAATCTTTGGGAACCTATAAAAACTACACTCACTGTTATTGCTATTATTAGCACAATTAAATACGCAACATGTATTTGCACACATTTTTGATAAAATTTATGCCTAAAAATATTTTGTCCAATATTCCAATTTTGTCATATTTCGCCGCTACGCACGCTGGCATCGTTTCAATGTATCCCTACCATGGTCACGCACGGAGCGAATAGAGAGAGTGCCGATGAAGTTAGCTACAAATTATTGGCAGATTGTATTTGGCAGTGTTGCCATATCACAAATAAATCACGAAAGAGCATGCAATATAATATTAATTAATGTTACTAAACATTATTTTTAAGTTTTTATAAGAAGTTTAATTAATTTAAATTTAATTTATTATATTTTAAATTAACGTTGATTGTTTAAGCATTTATTCAGGTACCATTTCGTTCCAAAATTATAAGAAAATAGTTATAAAATTGAAATCTGCTGAACATCTGTGACAATCTGGCAGCTGGTGTATTCAAAGTTTTGACAGTTTATTTGCTAATCTACCAAAGGCCAATTATAATTTTTTTTTTCTAATAACTAATTGCAACTAATATCAAAACAAACAAATATTCACTCGTTTGTGTCTTATATATATTTAAAAATTTTTAAAAAATAACAAATTTCATAAAATAATATAATAAAAATGTACTTTTTCAAAGCATATTTGAGGCATAAAACATACATAATGAACATGGCAATACCGCAAACACAAATTTGACATGACATTTATAGCCAACTTCATCTGCACTTTCTCTATACTTTTGCCGTTATTTAAATATAGTTATATTAAATATTTAGTCACATCAAAATATTAACAGAAAATCACAACCTAAGATATTCATGGACAATTTTCACATTTGGTCCCATTGAAGATAGCCTCAAATTAGCTGTCAATTAAGTTTCACAGAAGGAAATATTGCATTGGCAGTGTTGCCATGTTCTTATAATGTATATGTTATATGGTTCAAGCACAAAGAGATAAAGCTTTTAAAAGGTACATTTTTATCATATTATTTTATAGATTTTGCAATTTTATAACTTATATAAAATATTAAGAAGTAATATTTGTTTCGTTTGATATTTAGTTGTAATAAATTATTATTGCTTTTAATTGCCTATGTTTCATTTCCAATATAAATTTCAATACTGCGAAACACCAATATTTCATTCTGTCAAACCCATTTGAAGCTAACTTCAATGGGACCAAATGTGAAAATTGTCCAATATTCATAATTAAAATGTCGGTGTTGTAGACCAATGTTACCAACTATGTTACAAGAATTCATGTTACCAGCAGGTTAAAAAGGGGCAAGTATATACCAGTAAAACCTACATGATCATCAGTGAATCCATTAGTAAGCCAGGAGAGACCTGCCAACGGACTATAAAAGCTATAAAACTATAAAACTTGTTAAAGGAGAATACCTAGGGCAGGGCAACAAGTGTTGCCAGATAACAGCTTTTTAGTTGGGAAGTTTTTCTGTCCCACCTGCTATACCTTCCATGGCTTACTTGAGGAATATTTTCCAACTTGAATTTTATTAATTCAAAGATTATTGTTAGCCACCAGCCAAACGTTGTTCTAATATGCAATGAAGACATTTTTTTTTGTCTTTATTAATCAGCCATAACATAAAAAAAATATTTTACAATTTAGACTATAGAACACATACACCATATACACACTAAATAAAACTTGTAACATCACTCAAATTAGAAAAGTACACTAATAGTCCCTGCAGGCTTAAACTCCACAAATGCTCATAACATTCACAGTAGTGAACTCATTAAAGATTTGATACATACTAAAGCAAGACAGCACAAATGTGCGATGAAACAATGAAAATATAATATAATATAGTTTTTCATAAAGTGACAGTCCATGTATGACCACAGGAGGATTAATGTTGATTAATTGTCCTAATATTTCTTAATAATTCTGCTATCACAACACAATATAAGAATCTCTTTATGTAGATAATTTCTTGTAAATATCACAATACCTTCTCTAAATATTGTTCTGAAGCTATTTTCTTGTGGCATTTTAAATTAATTACTATTTAACTGGGAATAAGCCACTGTTTGTATTTTGAGAACAATTTCCGAAGTGGAAATTGAAACATCAATAAACATATTTTTTTTATCTTTAATTGTGGCTTATTCCCAGTGAAATAGTAATTTACCTTCTCTAAATGGCATTCAAATAAGTTCACTACAATTAAAATATAAGGTTACAATGTTACTTACTGTTTTCCCAGCAGAATAGTATTTGAGTATTTGAGATACTACTAAATAAATTAACACCCAGGGAAAATATTGTGTTACTAAGAACATGATAGACTCCCATTCCACATCGGATCTATCTCTTTTTGAGAAATATTGTAAATCTTCAGTAAAATCATTGAATTCATCTTTATAGAATATAAAATCTAAAAGAAAAAAGGTAAAGGGCATAATAAGTATCTAAGTAAGTATATACTTACATGAGTAAGTGATAGATGAGAAACTATACACAGAATAGATAACAGATATAGTCCAAATGAACAAATAAATATATATTTCAACATTCATACCAGAGTTCAAAATGCACTTTCAACTTTCGGTTCATTTGTTATTTGTTTACATATATTTTTTTGGTTAAGATTAGTGGAATGAAGTTGGGCAGAGGTGGTACATCATTCTTATTCTTATTCACTTTTACGATTACGATTATACCTATTGTATATTAATTAATTAAACATGGAAATGGAAAACAAATACATAAAGTGCTAAAATACTAAGAGTGGAACAACACAACAAACTGCAGAACATTTCAGTTACATTCCAAAATTATAAAGAATGGTCTTAAAGTTTAGATTTTCTGTAGACTAGATCTATTGCAATCTGACAAGAATGAAAAATAAAGTTTGTATTAAAATAATAAGAAATTATGAAATATCCTATCACACCCTTGCGATTTCTACAAAAGAATTGGCTTTTAGTAGGTATTTTATGCTGTATTTTTGTAGCTGGTATTTACCCCAAATTGGGATCTAAACAAGGTAGATTTTATAAATGTTGTGTATACCTATAAACAAAATACAACTTATTTATTTTTAGGACCTTTACGAACGGAGTACACTGTAAAATACGGTGCAATATTCATTATATTTTTAGTAAGTGGTATATCTTTGAAAACAGATAGCATTTTTAAAACATTCCAACAATACAAGTTACATTGTTTTATTCAATGTTTCACATTTATCTTCATACCCATTTATGGAGTAATTTTAATTCAGTTTTTATACATTTTTAGAGTTCATCCATGGGTATTAAAAGGGTAAGTTTTTTAACATCTGTTGAGTTTTAACTGTTTAAAAATTTAGTTTATTCAATAAAATTTTTATTACACATGCTCAATTAAAAATTTGGGCATCTATCACATTTGGTCTTGAGTTGGCAGTGGCAGTATTGTCATTGCAATTGCTATACCCTTATAATGTATATGTTATATGCTTCCAATACAAAGACAGAAAGCTTTTAAACAGTACATTTTTATTAAGTATGTATATGGATTATGCATTTTTATAATTTATATAAAACATGAATGAATAAATATTTGTTTCTTTTGATATTAATTCCAGTTAATTATTAGAATTTTTTTTGGCAATGGTCTTTTGATAGGTTAGCATTAGCAGATAGATTTGGTAATATAGTCAGAACCCTCAAACCACCAGTTGCCAGATGTCTTTTTAACTTTATTATTTATACTATATATTGCAAACTCTGATTGATTATATAATTGAACTTTGATGGTATACAAGGCAAATATCGAACACAGTAATTAATTAAATCTTGCCCAAGTACTTTAGATCAATAGATCATCCTCCGGGCATTTTGTCAGTTGTGGCCTATCCGACATGAGCAGAATGTCATACATGTAAATTTGGACATAACAATACAATACACAAAGACAAACAAACACTTTAAAAAAAATGGAGAAGCTACATGTTATATAGAAGCCGGAGACAGAACTGCAGAAGAGACAGATTCTGTCTCCGGCTTCTATATAACATGTAGCTTCTCCATTTTTAAAAATTTTAAAGTGTTTGTTTGTCTTTGTGTATTGTATTGTTATGTCCAAATTTGCATGTATGACATTCTGCTCATGTCAGATAGGCCACAACTGACAAAATGGCCCAGAGGATGATCTATTGATCGAAAGTACTTGGGCAAGATTTAATTAATTACTGTGTTCGATATTTGCCTTGGATACCATCAAAGTTCAATTATTCGAACATTCAACCTTATATTGATTATATACTTAATTGTCTCAAATGAAAATAGGATTAACTCCTTTGGTGTATGTTCTCTTGGCCACATAACAGACCATGAGCTTATTTATTGTGATCTTCCCAGAAAATGGGCCCCAATTTTTAAGACTTAGAAATTTCAAACACTTTGATGCAAATCTTTTTTTACTTGATTTAACATGTTGCCTGCTGTCTCGGTCTATGTGACCAAGAAAAAGATTGCTCTGCATGCCAACAAGGTCTGTTTGACTAAGGATTTTCATGTAACTGTGGTATTGTATCGGCGACTATGGTGTGAACGGAAAGTATTGCAAATTCCTCTATGGCAGGCAAGATGTTAAACTGTACGGTTTGCCAACATCTATCACATTGAAAACATCAATGACAAAGTAAAATTCTTAAGTAGCTCCATTGTGGCTTAGATAATATGAAACTTCTTATGTCACTAAGAAATCAGGCTAAAAAAAGTAGTAGAAAATTAAGGAGATAAGCATGTAAGAATGAATGAAAGAATGAAAATGCTTTCTTTCAACACAAACTTCATGTAGGTGGGATAAAAAAATACTGGAAAAAATTTACAACTCATTAATATTGGTACGAATGAACACACAATTCCAGAAACATTTAAAGGGCCCTATTAGTTTTAGAGATTAATCAGTACTACACATCATGCATCCCACATCTAACAATCAATCAAAATACAATTGACAATTATTTAAATACTGTACCTAATTGGGAGCAATTCACCTTTACTCCAGTATCTTGTGATCTGGTGCAAAAATAGTTATATACTATTAAATCTATTAATGCTCTAGGTTCAGATGGTTTAAACTTAAAAATGTTACGTCAATGTTGCCCATTAATCATTCCTTATATAACCCATATAATGAACTGTTGCCTCTCGAGTAACTATTTTCCAGATGATTGGAAAAAAGCATTAATTAGACCCATACCTAAATGTAACAATCCAACCAAATATAAAGATCTTAGACCTATTAGTATTCTCCTACTCTATCAAAAGTGTTAGAACACATTATGCAAATGCAGCTTGGTGATCATATTTCTAAACCAATTTTCAGTCCGGGTTTAGGCCATTTCACAACTGTGAACAGCACTCCTTAAAATAACTGATGACATTTTTGAGAGAAACCACCATCAGTATCTCCTTGAATACCTGTAAATTTCATCTCTATGCAGATGGTACACAAATTTACCACTCATTTTACCCGGTTTACAGAGCAAGTGCCATTGAGATTGTTAATCAAGATATTAAATCATTGATTGCTTGGGCAAGAAATCATGCATTAAATTAAAACTCTAAAAAAACTAATTTAGTGGTTTTTGGTCCAAACAGGGTGTGTTTGGAGGTGAGTAACATCATTGAAATAGTTGTTGATAATAAAATCGTTAAACCTGTAACTAGTGCAAAAAATCTAGGTTTAACTTTAGATAATCACCTCAAATTTACAAAACATATTAAAACCTGTGTGAGTAAAGCATTTCTCAGAAGAACAATTTATCATAATCGCTTCTGTCTGTCATACAAAGTAAAAAGAATACTGTGCGAAAGTTTAGTATTATCAAAACTTAACTATGAAGATGTTGTGTATGGGCCTTGTATTATTTCCGATGACAGAAGAAGAATTCAGGTGGTTCAAAATTAGTGTTTTTATCTGATTGTTTGACACATTTATTGTTGCCTCACCACAAACAGTTACAAACATAAATAGTAATAATAAAATACAAAATAACAAAAAAGAAACTTACTATGTTACTATCCGTTTACAAACTCTAGAAGTTGGAGATACTATAAGAATTTACAGTTGTTACTGGGCGATATTTTGTAGCAGGGATTTAGATTCACCGCAACACAAAAGACTGCATCTAGTCTGGAATGATGACCTGGGACAAACAAAATGAGGATGGAAGCTGGCACTGGCATGCAAACTTTTAAAACTCGGTTTCTTAAAAACCCAAACACAACTGAAACGCAACTGGACACAATGGAACCATGTGTTTCTCATTCAAAGTTGTTGTAAACGCCGTTTTACAACTATTTCAGATGAGGGACGGCATAAAAATAAAACAGTCACTACTCTTATCAAAACTGACACATAACATTGAGTATTATTTACTTTTTCACAACAAATTTGTCGGTCTTTTAACACCGACCACACCGCGTGTTGTTTCTTCCAAAATTCTCCCAAACCTGAATTTGACCTTATCTCGATCTCTGCACCGGCTTTTACCGTTTCCTCTTACCCCCTGACAGTCTTCGTAACGGGCCAATCATAATTATTTTCCAACACGCTTCACGTCGTATTGTAACTGACCTTATAACGTACAAATATAAACATATTTTTATTACTTTCTTGTGGAGTGTAAACAAAGACGAAATTTTAAACAGCCCAGATTGAGACCTCGGTGCCGTTTGACGATTCTTTTATTTATGCAGAACACGATACTGGTACGTCACGAGTGAGGGGAGTAGGCAGATTGAGACCCAAAACTCGAACGGAACCGTATCTCTCTCGAAGATGGTTCCAAAATGGGTGCCGAAACGTGGAACATTAAATTCCCAACGCGATTCTTTCCGAGAACTCAGTAATTTTCATTTATCTGACTGCGGAAATTTATCCGAACATATAATGATATCGTTTCCTGTCATCTGGGCTATGCGAAATGTGTAAAAGGTTATATCTTCTAGCAAAAGCTGTTATAGCTTTGTTGAATTAATGCCTTTTATAACTTTGATAAAAGAATCGAATTTCGTGAAACCGTTATGGAAAAATATAACAGATCAGAGTTTCATACAAAAGGTATTTTTTTTTCTGTTGAACCGTCTTTTATTCTAAACGGTCATGTAAATCGCCAGACATATCGATACTGTATCGACACAATATCCCGAGAAGGTGAATGTTTGGGCCGGGATTATAAACAATCAAGTTGCAGGGCCATATTTTTTTGAGAAAAATTAACTGCTCGTTATCTAGAATTTCTTCAGGATTATCTGTTGCCACAGCTCTATTCCATTTCCCACTATTAGCCACCATTTCCAAATATGATTTGTGGTACCAACATGATGGGACTCCCCCACACTACGGCGTTGAGGTACGAAATTACCTTAATAACGTTTTCGCAGGTAGGTGGATCGGTAGAAGGGGCCCATCGAATGGCCACCAAGGTCTCTAGATTTGACTCCGTTAGACTTTTTTTGTGGAGATATTTAAAGAGCACAGTGTATCAAAATCGACTGAATAATGTAGAGGAGTTGAAGGAGCGCGTCAAAACGGAAATTGCACAAATAACACCTAAAGTCATCGAAAACGTTAGTATTAATGCTTAAGGTCATCAATTTGAACATTTGTTATAATTTAATTGTATTTAAGTAAAGATTTATTGTAAGTTAATTGTATTAATAAACCAACAGTTTTGGTTAACGCTGTAGAAATAAATATTCAAATGATTACATCGTTGCAAAGGCGATAAGGAGACCTTTTAAATGAGCTGTCTCGTGACCTCGGTTTGTATTTAAAAAATCGTCGATTACGTCATTACGCCGACACTGATGACGTAATGTCCAACACATTTATAGCAGTTGATGGCCATTCAAAAATTAAAATTGACGTGTTTTAAGATTTTTTTTTAAGTCATCTGTTTCTGAAATAATGAATTTATTCCGTACATTTGCATCAACAACTATTCAACATCTTGAGACTCATAATTCAAGGAAAAATAGAATGTAGGAGAAGCGTAGGAAGAAGACGCGTTTCCTGGTTGAAGAACCTGAGAGAGTGGTTTTGTTGCAGCTCAAGACAATTGTTCAGAGCAGCTGCCTCGAAGGTCAGAATAGCCATGATGATTGCCAACCTTTGTCGCGGAGATGGTACTTAAAGCAGAAGATTTTCATCATACTGTATATACATATCTAGAATATCAGGCTTTTTTGATTAATTTAAGTTTTATTCTTTTTGATTATTTGAAGCTACTATTGAGTTGTGGTCTGAGCAAATGTCAGTCCCTGGATAAATTTTTGCTGATAAAATTGCATTTCAAAATATGTGTTTAATTAGGACGTAATCTAATTGGGGTGTTTGCAATAACTAAATCTTTTGTTTGGAAAAACTGGATCAAAGAATCAAATAATCCCCCTGCCCGTTTTGTTTCCTCCAACCTTGTAAATACATGTATCTCTTAACTCTGCCTTATCCAATCTGATGATATATCCAATCCAATTGAATACTAAATTATGGCTCACCTAAATGAAACACAACGCATGGAAATATTCATTCTTAGCGGATGCGGAGATAAAAAAGAACAAAGAACGAGGTATGCAATTTATTCAACGCAAACATCCAGACAAAGCCATCAGCCAATCAACAGTGAGTAAAATAGTCCGAAAATTTGGAGAACGGTATTTAACAGGAGAATTTTATTTAACTTTTTTGAGAAATCAACTTATACCTGTTCTTGCTAACATGTATCAAAATGCCAATAATCCAAATTTACCTAGTGAAAATATTTGGTTTCAACAATATGGAGCCCCTTCGTATTACGTACGTGAAGTACGTCGAGTTTTAAATCATTGCTCTCCGAGGAGGTGGATCGGAAGACGAGGTTTTATACAGTGGCCAGCAAGGTCACCAGATCTAACACCTCTAGACTTTTTCGTGTGGGGTTACATAAAATCAAACATTTATGTCAATAGACCCCAAAACTTACAGGACTTGAAAGATAGAATTAAGCATGAAATGAGTCTAATTACCCCAGAAGCCATCCGCAATGTACTTGATGAATGTGTCCGTAGATTCGCAGATTCTCAAGACACCGATGGATGGCATTTCTAACATTTAATTTAAAATAATTATTTATAATTTGGTTACTTTAAAGTACATTATTAATTAAATTATTAGTTGTAATTTATTTGAATTTAAATTAAAAAACAATTGTTTTTGTACCATTAAAAAAATATTTTAGTTAAAAATGTAATGTAGTCAAATAGAGAATTAAATTCTCGTTTAAATGAGGTGTCGCATTTTACCGATTTCTATTTAAAAAATTAACGATTACGTCACTACACCTACACCGGTTATAATTCACTGTATAGGTGTTCCTTGACTGGCGCATGCGCGCATGACCAGTAACTTACTTACTCTTTAATTACTATTTAACTGGGAATAAGCCACAATTAAAGGTTAAAATACGTTTATTGACGTTTCAATTTCCACTTCGGAAATCGTTCTCAAAATACAAACAGTAAATTAAACAAATTTTGTTTTTTGTTACTTAGCGAAAAATTCTTATAATAATTTAATTTTATCTGACTCATTTATATTGACAATTCAGACATTCATTATGCATTTTAAAGTAGATGACTTTAAAATGATATTGCCAATATAGTTGAGTTGCGCTCCTGGGACGACTTTACTTATAAGATAGTTCATTCGATTACATGAAATCAACTTTAACTTGAGAATATTCGTCAGAAAAAATCATAGCATGTAATTCGTCTTTAAAAATACAAACACATGTCATGATGACAGTAAAATTCTCCTGGTAGTGATTCCATAGTAAATTATGAGGGAAAAACCAGGAAAAAAACCTCATAATACTATCCCGACATGGTAAGTATTTATTCGTGTATTTAGTTTATCTTCAATAAACACCAAACTCTGATTTTATATGTCTGTTATTTAAAAAACATAAATGATGCATCCTCTATATGTTACTGACTTACTAATACTGGTATTTTCTTATTATTAACTTCCTCTTTCAATGTGGATAACCAGATCCTACTACATTCTGCCGAGGAATTTGCGACACATTTAGTCTTATTTAGCATAATTAGAGCGGCTTCTTTAATTTTTCTTTTTTTATTTTTTTACCATCCGTTTCTTTTAGGACTATATTTGAATTGTTCCATCGAACCCTATGTTCATTATCCCATGCGTGTTTACATATTTGAGATGTATCAAATTCTCTATTTTTAATATAATATTGTTTTTCACTTATTCTAACATTTAATGGTATTGATGTTTCACCTAAATAAAACTGATCGCATTCACAAGGTATTTTATAAATGCAATTCTTTGTCATTTCTTGTTCATTGTTAGGTTTGGTTTTGGACAAAATAGATCTCAACGTATTTGTTGTTTTGAATGTTGTTGAAATGTTGAATTTATTTCCTATCCTTTTAAGTTTTTCTGATAATCCTTTTATGTACGGTATTGTTATTTCCTCGTATTATTCCTTGTGTATGCTGTAGGATCTCGTTCGTTGTTCTGTTCTATTCGATCGATTGTTGAAAGTTCCTTATTCATAAACGATAAAGGATAATCATTTTTTAATAAAACAGATGTTAACAAATGTTTCTCCTCCAAGAACAAATTTTCGTTAGAACAAGTAATTTTGGCACTATCGTATAAGGATTTAATAATTTCCTTTTTAATATTAATATTGTGATTTGATTTGAAATTTAAATATCTATTGGTGTGTGTTGGTTTTCTATACACCTGAGTCTCGTAATACAGTATCGTTCTTAGAGATTAAAACATCCAGGAAAGGTAGCGTGTTATTATATTCCTTTTCCATGGTAAATGTTATTGTCTCTTCTTTATCGTTTATATCATTTAGGCATGTGTCCAACTCTGATCCATGAGGCAATATTGAGAATACATCATCTACATACCTCCACCATACTGTGTGTTTAACATTTTGTTTAGAAATGATATTTGTTTCAAAATCTTTCATAAATATATCGGCTAATAATGGAGATAAACTAGAACCCATTGCTAGACCAAAATTTTGTTTATAGAATTCATTATTTAATTGAAAATATGTATTATCAGTACATAATGTTAATAACTCCATTATAGCCGATATGTTTAGTCTTGTTCGAGTTGCCAATGAATCATCACTAATGTTGTTTATTGAAGGTAAACTAAATGCACGACCAAATACTTACAATGTCGGGATAATATTATGAGGTTTTTTTCCTGGTTTTTACCTCATAATTTACTATGGAATCACTAACAGGAGAATTTTACTGTCACCATGGCATGTGTTTGTCTTTTTAAAGATGAATTACATGCTATGATTTTTTCTGATGGATATTCTCAAAAAGTTGATTTCATGTAATCGGATGAACTATCTTATAAGTAAAGTCGTCCCAGGAGCGCAACTCAACTATATTGGCAATATCATTTTAAAGTCGTCTACTTTAAAATGCATAATGTACGTCTGAATTATCAATATAAATGAGTCAGATAAAATTAAATTATTAGAAGAATTTTTCACTAAGTAACAAAAAACAAAATTTGTTTAATTTACTGTTTGTATTTTGAGAACGATTTCCGAAGTGGAAATTGAAACGTCAATAAACGTATTTTAACCTTTAATTGTGGATTATTCAAAATAGCTTCAGAACAATATACTTACTCTTTGTTGATCCGAGCACTTCTTCGAGACTGACATAAAACCGTTTCAATTTTTTCATCTCCTTTGTCTGCTGAATGTGCATACACCTGATCAAATATAAATAATAAGCCTATTATCTACTTATTAAATTGTGGCAGCCGTAGCTCAGTGGCTATGTTACTGACTTAACAAGCTAGAGGGCCCGGGTTCGTATCCCTCCACCGACAAAATTTTCAACTGCCACCGTTCTTCGGAGGGCACGTAAAGCTGTCGGTCCTGGCTACGAAAGCAGTCGTTATGTCATGTTGGGGGGCCTGCGCGATCTTAAAACCTCAACAGTAGACCTTACACGAACGTCAGAAGGTTACACGAACTTTACTTTACTTTTTTACTTATTTAATGTAAAATAATCGTTGGTCTTTGATATCATATTTAAATATATAAATATTAATAAAGACACACATTTTGTTGTAATAAAATGTTATATTTTAGAATCACTACAGTCGCAAGTATGCCCCCTCCTGTATCCAGTGCTGTAATTTTGACCAGAGCTGCACAAGGAAATGAAACTGCAGCATTATTTAATTCAATTTTGGGCAGTTTTATAGGTATTATAGTAACTCCTGTTTTATTGCTTCTTCAGGTAAATACCACATTAATAATATAATGTATTATCTCTTTGCAAATTTATTTTTGTTAGAAACTAAACGAATGGATGTGCAAACTTAACAGGATTTCCAGTTATCACAGATTGACTGATTGCTTTTATTAACTATGGATCTAGTAGTGATTAACCTGTGATCACAATGGACATGTTTTGTATTAAGATCGACTAGAATAAACTTTCTTGTAGGTTTATAAGAAAGTTAATAGAATTTTTAGGACTCTAAAATAGGGCTAGCTTTTAATCCGAGAGGTGTGGGAAACAAACCGCATTCCAGCGGGCTGGAAAAAAGGCATCATTACTAAGCTTCCAAAAAAGGGCAACCTCACACTATGCAAAAATTGGAGAGGAATAACCTTGCTTACCGCCATAAATAAAATCTTCACGACCGTCATACTTAAAAGATTAACAAACAAGGTTGAATTTCGAGCTAATCAAGTAGGCTTTAGACCAGAATCCTCCTGCATAGACCACATTAATACTGT